AGGGTTCTCCTTAGGATCTGTGACATCCCCTACCTTTTCTTTCCTTTGGACTCCTGAAATAACTGTTCATGTTTGAGCCACTCCCATTTGCCCTTCTACGTCCTACCTTGAAAACCTGAACCTTGAATTCTTGAAGACTAGAACCAATGATCATTATCGAGAGTTTTCTTAAGTGACTCCCGTCATTTGGGATGTAATTAACTATAGGGGCTTGCCTCTATAGGGAACTTGAAACCCAGATAAAATAAACCCTATTTAATCTTTGTATTAAATAGGGGAACTTGTCGGTCATACATAAAAAAGGTTCGCAGACCAAACGGATGTCACAAATCTCTTAGTTTGTAGGATTGGGTCTACCGCCGAGGTTTACACTTATCTTTCGGGAGGGTGTAATATTTGCGATGTCAGACACGATTATGCAAACTATTGGACTAATGGGATCCATTTGGTCTCATTTTTCAAAAATTAAAACATATTATTTTTAAAACTCAAACTATATATCTTTTATACTTAAATTAAATTTCAAAAATTATTTTCATATACCATATTTTCAAAATCTATCAATCGAAAAAGTTGACCGACATACCTTTGGCTCCATTTGGTTCCTCCCATTTAGTCAATCGAGAACCATCAAATGCCGATGTGCCCTGAAATCCATTTTGTGTTATTCGGCAGAATAATGTAAATTGTGTTATTCGGCAGAATAATGTAAAATGTTCAACAGAGAAAAATGGTAAATGTATATCTTTCTATTATGGCCACATACGATTCCAAATGGGAGTTCTTCGCCGCTTGCCAGAACAAAACCAGATGATATTCTATCAAATCGGGGAAATTGACTTGCAACTTTCCCACAATGTACTTCAATGCCAAAATTTTCAATTATTTCATCAACTACATCCAATGCAACCGGTAATGCTAAAGACGTTTGAACCGGATCATTAGCTAAGGCAACACATAGCCTTCCGTCACTCCCCATCTGATCTTTTAATGAAACAGCTGTAAACAATTCTTCAAGGAAAAACATAACTTCCTCGGAAAGCCTCAACGTTGAACTCAAAAATGTTTTTCGCTCTTTGAAAGGAGCAGCTCTAAGGTCCAAAAATAAACTTTTAAGCATTTGTAAGGCTTCAATTGCTTCATCTTTCGAAATAGCATTTTCATGCTGGAAAGACAAAAGAAGCGCAAAAGCATTATAGATTGAAGTTACATGTGTATCTATGCATTTTCGAACTGGACATAAAGAAAAGCTCAGTGAGTTTTGTTCATTTGAACCCAGCTCATGCCTTGCCATTCGCCATTCAACATCACCACTCTGCCTCCCAGGTAAGTATAGTGAAGAATCAACCATATTATGCAGCCCACTCTCTAGTTCTTCTAATTCCTTCATATCCCTAACCTCTAGTAATTCAGATGAAAATCCAGAACGTAATTCTTTTGTTAGAGAAGAAAGAACAGAAGAGGCAGAGCTTTCAGTTGCAATGTTACGTCTAGATAGGACCTGCCAAATAACAATTTATAATCCTTCAGTAACATCTTAATACAGAGTAAAAAAAAACAAAGGTAAGAACACGCAAAGATAGATAGTTTACCTCAGTCCACTTCCGTGTGTATCTCTTTGTAACATCACGTACTCCATCCTTTGCTATAGCAATTACATAGTTTAATTTTTTATTCCAGCTTCAGAAAAGAAATGTCCAATAGCATTGTTTCAGTAACATGAAACTAGATAAAATCACAAATCTGGACATTGAATAAACGATTCACACTCAGAATAACTGCGAGTTTGATGCGATTTCTTGGAAGAACGGGAAACAGAATTAGATAAATACCCTTTCTCATACAACAATGGCTTATCATATATTCCTTCACATGGATCAAGGTGCATCCACCTATACACGCCTCGTAGGAGTCAGTAACATAAACTCTTTAAACACAAGTCTCAAAAAGACTGCAGGCATAAAGAAGTGATACAATACCTTCCTAGCAATTGTGAAAAACACTCTGTCCAAACATGATCTGTGAAATCCAATATCTGAAGGAGAAAATAAATGCAACACTTAGTTTTTTTCTTTAGAGCAGGAATTGAACGAGCTGCGAATATTTTGGGGAATTTACATACAAAACATACAATTCTTACGTATTTATATATCTTAAAACTTTCATATTTAATTATATAAAACTAAAATATTTAAGATCGCATCAAAATTATCATTAATATTAACCTTTATAAAGTCAAATAACCTTTTTTATGCATATGTTTTGATGCGAGCATGACATTAAAGTATTATATAAATAATATCAAAGTTTTAAGTGTTAGATATGTAAATATGTAAGCATTGTGTAGTATATATGGAAATACCCCAACTTCCCAACTTTTTATTGCAGAGTACGAGGTGCAAAAAACGTTAAGATAGATTTACTCCTTCCAACGTTAAATGAATGCAAGGCAGAAGAAAAACTAAAATGTCCACAAACTAACCCACATTCAGGTTCAAATGTATCATATGTCATGGGTCACATTTACCTCAAAGTAAAAAATAAATAAATTGGCAGAAAATAAATAAATAAATAAAATAGGCAAGCAAATTCTGAGGACAAAAGTATGAGCTTGAGCACAAGAAAACATACAAAATTTGATTTGAAACGATATGTGCACTAGATTTATCAAACTGAGATACTTCTAAAACCATGGAAGCAAAACGTTTGCAGAATGTGAAAATAGCTAGTTGCAATGCTGACTGGAATCGATACCAGTGCCAGTGGTTTGGAAGAGCGTTCAGTTGATTAATATCAAGTTCAGATCATGTATGTTTTATTTTAAGTTCGCTTTTCAGAAATAATTTACCAGTAGCAGAGTAGAGGAATGAAATCCAGGGCCATGGCCCTAACCATTCCAGGGCCCGCCCAATATAGTACCACAGCACTAACATTAGATATGTCAAATATCTAAATCTATCAGTTATTTCTATTATTTTTACGTAATCGTATTCTGACTGGATTAGGGTTGAATTCTCAACTAGATGCCATATCTTTATGTGACATAATTGGAGACAAACCGTAAGTATCAGTAGAGAAATTATATAACAAATATATGCAGTCAGATTTATGAATCCACATTTTCCAGTTGCTCCAGCAGAGTGCTATATGGATTTTTTAACTTATTCCAAGAAAATCTTTTCAAGCAACTTACGCTACACAGTAGTGTAGCCTCATTCATATTCGACACAAATCCTTAGAAACTATCTTATTAAGTTATCTATGGCTTTCTTTTCTCTCTTTGTCAAAGTCCAAACACTCTATATCTAGATATCATTGTCATTAATTTCAATAAAAGATACCCAACAAATTCATGTTTCAGTTGATCAATATCAAGTTCAGATCATGTATGTTTTATTTTAAGTTCGCTTTTCAGAAATAATTTACCAGTAGCAGAGTAGAGGAATGTAATCCAGGGCCATGGCCCTAACCATTCCAGGGCCCGCCCAATATAGCGCCGCAGCACTAACATTAGATATGTTAGATATCTAAATCTATCAGTTATTTCTATTATTTCTACGTAATCGTATTCTGACTGGATTAGGGTTGAATTCTCAACTAGATGCCATATCTTTATGTGATATAATTGGAGACAAACCGTAAGTATTAGTAGAGAAATTATATAACAAATATATGCAGTCAGATTTATGAATCCACATTTTCCAGTTGCTCCTGCAGAGTGCTATATGGATTTTTTAACTTATTCAAAGAAAATCTTTTCAAGCAACTTACGCTACACAGTAGTCTCATTCATATTCGTCACAAATCCTTAGAAACTATCTTATTAAGTTATCTCTGGCTGTCTTTTCTCTTCTTTGTCAAAGTCCAAACTATCTATATCTAGATTTTATTGTCATTAATTTCAATAAAAGATACCCTCATCACATCTCTAATATAAACATTTCACAATATAGCATTCCTAATTTTTCCACGCATTCATCTTTGCATTCACGTTTTTGCAATACTAACCTTGATGCATTGGCTATCAATGACAGTTTTGGCAGCCCAATACTAAGATTCATAAAAAATAATGGGTCTAATTGAAATTTAATAAAATTGACTTGTAAACTTCCATAAAAAATTTATTACACAATAATATTTCCAAAGCATTTTTTTCATTTAACGATCAAACTTTAACTCTAGAAATTATATCCTAATTTATAAATTAAACTTTCAATATAATAAATCTAAAATATTTAAACCATATGATATGACATATTATATTAAATCATATTGCATTAATTATATTAAATTATCTTCAAGTAATATGACAAATAAATGTTAATATGACATCATCTAAAATTGTCTATCATATACCGAGACTTTGTTTTCCTCATTCTAATCCCTCTTATCTTCTAGACATTTTCCATTATTCTGAGTTTTCACTTTCCATTTATTTTAATTGATATGTTCATGAATAGAATAACCATCGATGAAACTCATATAACAAGACACCTCAGTTTGAATATATTTTAACAATACTTTCATAATAAATATGAAAAATTAACGAATTCAAGAATGGTCCTTTATGTCATTTTATAGTAATATTAAATTTCTTGGCTACACTTGGGATGATATCAAGTTGAGTTCGTGAAATTGACTGGCTAACCTTGAAATTTTTATTGTAGCTTGACTTAAAATTAGAGTCAAAATGATTCGAGTACGAGTTGAATCAAAATTAAAATTAATTAAATTCAAAATTATTTTTTTATTAAATTATCGCATCCAAATACATATAATACTTGTATTTTATATTATATACATGTATAAATACTCATTTTAGGTAGATTCAAGCGATATGCAGGCAGTTAAAGATAACTCAACATCACCTCCACATAAATTTTGACTTTATAATGGAGCACAAAATCAACTCAATATCATCTTGACTTGATTTCAAGTTGAATCAACTTTAAATGAGTTGGAGTTTTTTTCAAAGCTTTGGGTTTTATCTGTAAGAACTACAACTACTTTTAACACAAATGAGTGTTACATCATGCATATATTTAATAATTTCCGCATACTTCTAACATATATTTTCTTAATGTGCATCAAATTAATGTTGGCACTATTGATTATATGCAATGGAGGAGAAAAGAGAAATAACTTCATATACATAACTTCAAAATTTGTCCCCAAGCCTACACGCAGCAAAACAATCTCTCTGCGAGTGCAGCTCAAGCAGTCTGTTGATAGCCTATGGACTAAAGACTGTGACTCTCGTGCCCAACCCTCATATCCAATCCTTATTCCCAAAATTATGGATCAATTTTACTGACTTCCCTTGTGTATATTGCTCTATTGTTCACCTTGATGGCCTGATGTTGTTATGAGTACGATCAGGTATGGATGGCACTCAACCCTTCCAATTTTCAAAGGCTGTTGGGGGCGCATTGGACGCTGCTCAACATGCAGCGCTCTTCCAGTCGTTGGACCCTACCTTCAGGTGAGCCATTTTCAAGGCTGGTAGGCTATTAAGCAGAAAAGATAACTCTTCTCAAGCCCCCCGCCAACGTTTCCAAACTACCTAACATTGTCGCCAGCCGTCACATCCTGCCTCGGAATTTTAACCCCTCCCTTTTGAAGCTCGCGCAAAGTCGCGCTCTGACGGGCTTCCCCTATTTCTTAGGATCGACTAACATATGTGCAAGTGTCGTTCACATGGAATCTTTCCCCTTTGGCCTTCAAAGCTCTCATTTCAATATTTACTACAAACACCATAATTTGCATTGACAGTAGCTCCACATTAGGTCGTGCCCCGAGCTTTACGATAGCCACAAAGCCCTCCTACTCATTCAAACCTAGCCAATGCACTGATGTCGGGTGTGGGCCGCGCGCTTAAGTGCCATCCATTTTCGGGGTAGTTGATTCAGGAGGTGCCTTATTATGCACGTCTTAGCAGATTTTGACTTATGGTCACCGTCCTGCTGCCTTAATAAACCAACACCCTTACTAGATTCTGGGCATTGCACAATTTGACACCGTAACCCAGCTTTCGGTTCATCCTGCTTCGCTAGTTATGCTTACATAAAATGACACACTTGGAGCCCTCCAATCCATGGCATGGCACATTGAAGCAGCTTAGCTATGCTACCTATTCAAAATTTGAAAAAAGGTCAGGGGTGTTGTGGCCTTGATGCCTCTAATCATTGGTTTTACCTGATAGAACTCTGTCTGAGGCTCCAACTATCATGAGGAAAACTTCAGATGAAAATAGCTAATGGATGGTTTGATTAGTCTTTCACATCTATAATTGAGTCAGACGAATGATTTGCATGTCAGTATCACTGCAGACCTCCGCCAGAGTTTCCTCTGGCTTCGTCGTGCTCAGGCATAGTTTACCATCTTTCAGGTCCCAACACATGCTCCAACTAAAACCATTCACAAAAGAGGACCCATGCATCAGCTTCTTTGGGCCCACCGAGCTTTGACACTCGTCAGCTTGCACGTATATCAAGCACCTTAAGTCTGTGTTTCAAGATTGATCGAATGGGGAGCCCACGAGCCATTGCGGAGCATGCGAGAGCCTTGAGACACTCGCTTGAAAGGCATGTGTTGTGTTTGTCGACTGCACTGAAGGTGTCTCCTCAAGAGCTGATCTCCCAGAATCTTGTCGCCAGGGAGGCCTACAACGATCTGTGCCTCGAGCCGAGCAGTAGAAAATCCACATCCATTCCACTTCGGGCCAAGGCACACCGCCAGCCCCCATCCGCTTCCCTTATGACAATTTCAAGCACACTTTGACTTTTTTTTCAAAGTCCTTATATTTTCTTCTCGACAATTTCAAGAAATGTTTGACTCTCTTCTCAAAGTCTTTTTTATCTTTCCCTCATGGTAAATGTTCGTCATCGGTCTCTCACCCATATTTAGCCGTGGATGGAATTTATCGCCCGATTAGGGCTGCATTCCCAAACAACCCGTATCGGTGACAACCTCTCGTGTTGTGACAAGGTTAGGACGAACAAGGAAGAATCTTTGGCCAACTAACTTGGGTTGAAT